ATCATGCCGCTTCATACCAATCCCTTCGCTTCATAATTTGCTTAGCAAATGAATGAATACGAGCGTCAGGAACGGTCGTCCATTTGTGGGCGGGCGGGCGGGCGTTTGGGTCGGTATGTTGTGGCTTGATAGGGCCCTTATAAGGGCACCTCCCTTGGAAAAGGCATTATGCAGCGCCTGCTCAGGGTCGCGGAATTCCGTCCTGTCAGGCGTATTGATCCTACTCGTCTTGGGGATTTATCGTGTCAACTGCCTTTAGAGGCAAGTGGCAATGGACAGGACGTACAGGGTCGTTATGCTCAGCACGAAAGAATACTTTGCTGCTTAGCAAGCGCTGCGTGGCGTCGTTTCCGTCCAAGGGTACAGTTATAGGGCCTAACCAACGCCTAATATGCCGACCCAGACACCCACTGCATCGGTCCGTCCGTAAATGGCCGCACAGTCACATCAACGCGGGTACTCCTATATTATATCATTTATTAAGCACAACTGATAGAAGCGCTGCTGCATGGATATATGAATACAAGTGTAGTTCGCTGCGGACGATTGGGCGTGTCAGGCGGGATGAGTTTGGCGCGGTGCCAAACCCGTTCTCCACCAGTTGTTAAAGCGAGCAAGTGATATGACTGTATCATATCGTTCGTATTACTCGTTTTCTACCACTTTTTGTCGCATGCGCGCTTCAACAAGAAGGCAGAGAACGGCTTTGACGGCGTGACACACTCATACTGCCTGACACGCCCAACCGTCCGCAGCGAACTAGAGTATACGTGCATCCGCATCTATCCAATCGGCTTTTGGCGCGATGAGAACGGGAAACTCGTCCATAAACGCTCGTCCAATCCTGTGCACAACGAAGATTTTTCGCAGTTTTTAGGACGTTTAAGATCTGCTTTTCCGTCATTTTCCTCACTATGTAGCATCCCTGCAAGCATTTTCGAGTGCCAAATTATCGTGTCTTATGCCTTTAACACGTTCCGGACCGCGTGACACACATGGTGTGTCATGATTTCGTCTCTAGACGGTGTTTTATCAGAATGATTTGGCTTTTATTTCGTGAGCTAATGTTTTCACAACATGTTCTCTGTTAGGGAAGATGCTCACCTTGTAAGCGACTGAAAAGAGGTGGAAACATTTTTGACGATTTACCGAAAAAAAATTATAAAATGATCGGGAGATGCGCTCAGTAGGGCGGTCCGCAATGTGTTAAATATAATCTCAAGGGTATGACATCGACATGTCACTTTCCATCACTTCAAAGCGTCACAAAGATTTCACCAAACTCCCCGTAAAATGTGCCTGAGGGTCAATCCCAATCTCATTCAGCGCGGGTGAAGTTAGAAGGCTCCTTTTCCACAGCAGCATTCCCTCACTGGTTTTTTTTCCACAAAGTGACTTGAGTTCCTGAATTCCGGTCTATACTCGAATCTGTATGTGCTTCGAGGAGTTCGGAATCGTTGAACCTTCCTAACTTCATATGTGCTTCCTAACCTGAATGGTCCTTTTTAGAGATGTGTTACTTGTCATTGCTCTTAGTTGAAGGATGGATAAATAGCCCGTTTTATTATACAGTGAAATCAAAATGTTACACCGTCTAAGGTAGATACAATTTACCAAATACAAACTTATATTCGATCCATTGTCGAGGTTTCTCACTTGGGTTATGGGAATTAGTGTAGGCTGTTTGTTCTATGCATGTGAGCCAGCTGGACGACCAATGCACCAATACTGAAACAAATCGTTAATGATTTACCTCTCAGTCTTTTATATTTTTATTTTAGAATTAGCAGCAAAAAAGTTACCTTGCAGCTGCTATTATACCGGCAGGCATTATTTTGTGCGAGTTTGCATATCGCATGCCCATAACGTAGGCTAAGACACCAGAAACGCCTTAAAGCAAGTTTATCAGATGTAGCGATCTCGACAAATATACAAGATCATTCAAAAAAAGTTGAAATAATCACGTAATCACCCACACCGCAACTCCCTTATCCCGAATAACACCCTTAGTGCCTGGCCAGGAAAAACCAATAGGGCCAAGGCAACGGCTAGTATAGATAAAGACTTCAACAAAACTTGTTAATTCAGTACATCAGTTTGAACAGATTACTAGTAAGAGCGCGTTCATACTCCGCTATCCAAGCGATCGGATCACAATGTATTTACGTACGTGCGCTAAGCGACAATTTCAGCAACAAATCAAAAGCGTAAAGCGTCAGTAATCTCTCACGATAAGAGAAATGGAAAGAATGACAAAACTAATCACGTAGTTAGACGGTAGTCAGCTGCAATAGGATAGGAATAACCAGGCCATGGCCGTGCTATGCTGGGGAACCCCAGATGGTGGGGTCGTATTTGGTCTGAGGTAATTTTTTGATAGTTGATTTTTCTGGTTTTATGGGCGCTAATCATCAGTTCCTATGGGGGATCGCTATTTGCTAGCCGTTGGGATATGAAGGGGAGTCGGCGTATGCGCTTTGGATTATTTGCGGTTTTTCCTGTCACTAGTGCTATCTAGCCCCCCCCCCTCCGCCCGACAGTTAAATTTAGGGAGAAAAGTGGAAAATTTTTGAGAAATTTGGGGGGCAAAGTGGAAGGAAATGGCAACGTGCCCTGAATCAGGCTATTATTCAAGGCAATAGTTACCGAAACTGCTCTAGATTCGCTATGTTGGTACCAACTCTCAGTGATAATACTGACAGATAATAAATGAAAGCAGTAGAAATAACTTACCTGCGACTGCGAGAGTCTTGTAAGGTAGGTCTAAGAAAGTGAATGCAGCCACAATTGCACCACTACCGGCACCGGCAACCAGTGAAGGAACGGAGCCTGAAACAGGATCGGTTTTCACCAGACACACTCCAAATGTGGTTTGTAACTTTTGCTCACATGACTTGGAAGGAAAAAAGGTTAGAAGACTGAGCAGTAGTCTCCTGAGATGAGCGGTTTTGTTTTGTTTTGCATTATGATCGCATATAGAAAGAAATGCATTGAAGAACACCGACATTTTTAGTGTTTAGCTTCCTCTTCGTAAAACTCGGCATTGTTGCTGGACTTGACGTTTTAGTGTCAACTTAAGGCCTGACATTTCGACTAGATCGTCTTCGTCAGGGGCTCAGTCCACTACTCCTGTAGCGGAGCAGGCAGCAGCTCAGTCAGTTGTTAGTACGGTCTGTAGTTAGTAGGTTGTTGTACTAACAACTAATTGAGCGGCTGTGATGGACTAGGGCTGCCGATGATAATGATGTAGTAAGAGCCCCACCTAACAACCTCAATGGCACAAAAAAAGACATCAGATTGACTTCTCGATTCGAAATGAGCTCTTGTCAGATTTTGTTCTGAGCATGGAATTTGGAAATTTCAATACAACCAGGTAAAGCCGTAATGAATAAATGCTTATACAATGAAGCTATACAGTGTATGTGAACGCGGAGCTAAATCAAGCTGACAGGACAGGGATCATGGTGGAAAGTCAATGTATAATAACTAACAGCACCAATGTTGCTTTCCGTTGCGCTTTGGCTGAGTCAAGAGAAAAAGGTGTTTCTTATAACTTACTTGCGATATGTTCTCAGACACAGCAGTGCGCTTCGGGGGCGATGGGTAGGGGGGGGGGGACATTCTGCACTTTTGCTACTTCCCATTTCCCTGTGGACCCATCTAGAAAGCAGTTTCGTTTGCTGCAAAAACTGACAAGAATTGACAAGTCTCACACTGGTGAACCTGTTGAATTTTGTGAAGCTCGATCAAGCTCGTCAACCACTCATCATGGTAAAACCAGTTTTTGCAAGCAAACGAAACTGCTTTCTAGATGGGTCCACAGGCGATGGGAAGTAGTAAAAGTGCGAATGTCCCTCCCCCGTCGCCGAACTGCCCCTCAGTGCCCTAACTAGGGTTTACTATCGACCAACTATAACGCCCGAATAACCACTGCTACCACGAACTGGGAGAGCACCGTGAGCTACCACCGAGACATGATTGATTGGTTTGGTCGAATAGTAGATGTTGATTTCAACTATTTTCCAGCCATTTCTCCTATGTGCTGTTATCATCTAGTGGCGAAATGCTCTCTACTTTCCACAAGCGGACATTACGTTCACAAATAAACAAATTAAACAAAACTCCGACCGCTTACCTGCTTTCAAGTAACCGATGACTCCACCAGCAGTAAGAAGTGCAGCGTACCACGGGTTAACTTGGGAGGGAGGAAGCATTGTCGTTCAGTTTTTTATTGAATGTATTAATACCTAGAAATGAATAGGACATTAGTGATAACTCTAAAGGAGAACGACAGCGAGCAGAAAGAATCTTGGCTCTACATGCAAGTAAACAGGATGGTAACCAAGAGGAGAATTGCGAAAACTCGTCAACCAGTTTTCATTTATGCAGACTAGATCATTCAGGACAGCTATCACTGCTACAATTTTCACTCTACTTTGCTCCTTTTTCTAACAACGCAAAATTGGAACCTGAAACAAAATCTA